AAGCTGAATTGACTCAGGGAGGTTAGAGATCCCATGGCAGGTACTGAAGAACATGATGCTCTCCCAGTACGTCAGGCCGCATAAATCCTTGCTGAATATTTTCAAGAGGGAGAACACAGTTGCTGATATTATCAGAACCATGCAGTGCACAAACTGGCTGCAGTACAGCAACAACAGCAGCAGTTACTGACCATCCAGTAGAGTAGCTCATTGGTTTATGAAATGCTCTGGAACATCCTGAGGATATAAACAGTGAAATATCAAAGCACGTTCTTCCTTTCTTGACTTACTGAGGTCATCTTTAAAATTTAGCCAATGAACTGGTCCATTTCTTCAACAGCAGGAGTAGAGTTTTTGCTTCAAACTCTGGCTTGCGTCGCACACTACACACCATCCGTAGCCCAGCTGAGAACGGGCACAAGCAAGTGCCAGGGAGCCCTGTTGATGCCTACTCGGATATACCAGGGTGGAAAGACGGGTGGGTCATAGTGGCAGGCTCCTGCACCTGCAGCCTGTCTCGAAAGATCAGAATTTTGCCTGGCGCTGTACTTATCTAGTAAACCGCTGGGGCAGGGGCTGGGAGTTAACATAGTGTCGTACTTTAACAAACAAGGCAAAGTCATTTCTATTCCTTAACTACAAAGTACAAGGCATCAGAATGGAAGCATCACACAGAGTATTCTACAGCGACTGTACTGAAAATGCCAAGGCTGTTCAAATAATTATCTATCAAATGTGAACCATTACTGCAGAAAATAATCAAACATTGATATGGCAGGATACCCTCAAAATCCCACTAAATGGCACAATCTCCTCCTTAACATTTTGCAAAGCTTTGAATTCCGTCCTTCAGTGCTGGCAGGTTTTCAATTAATATCCCACAACCACAGGATGTTACTGCCAAAACAGAACAGGCTTTGCCCCTGAGCCTTTTAAATGCTAGCTGTGGAATGGAGCTGGTGTGTAGGTCTAGACCACATCGCTGGCAATAAGGATCAAATGGGCGACAACAACAACAAAAAAAAAAATGGAAAGATGGTTCAATCAGAGGATGTTAGATTTGGGGTTGCAAATGAGAAAATTGTACCTGTGCGTACAGCCATTTACCTGATAATTGTTGAATATTTTGCAAGTTTTTTGCTTCTCTTTAAAGCATTCACAGACTGGTCAGCTGCCTGCACCAGGTATGTTGTCTTGTCAAACACCCAGTTTGGCATTTTCTGAGTGGTGCAAGATGTGAAACAGACTCTTATCAACGCCGCCCCAGACAAAATTCAAGTTTACACCTTTGCTCGGGGCGCCCCGTGGCACAAGGCTTTTAATGCCAGCAAAGACAATCACAAACTGCACCCCCTACACCAGTCCCTGTCAGCAACCACAACAAATCAGGGAGGTACCTAGAGCACCTGGAGGAAACCCAAACAGGCACAGGGTGAATGTGCACACCCCGCACAGATAGTCACCCGAGGGTGGAATCGAACCCATGTCTGTAGCAGAGGGACATAAATCGGTGGGAAAAGGCACTGAGTCTGAGTTGGATTTAATTCCTGAGTCTAATTGGCTCTGTCATTCTCAACTTAGTTAGAATCACAGCATCACAGAATCCCTACAGTGCGGAAAGATGCCATCTGGCCCATCGAGCTTGCACAACCTAGCCATGTAACCCCACGTTTTACCATGACTAACCCACCTAAGGGCGGCATGTTGGTTCAGTGGTTAGCACTGCTGCTTCACAGCGCTAGGGACCCGGGTTTGATTCCACCCTCGGCCAACTGCCTGTGTGGAGTTTGCACGTTCTTCCCGTGTCTGTGTGGGTTTCCTCCGGGTGCGCCGGTTTCCTCCCACAGTCCAAAGATTTGCAGGTGACGTGGATTGGCCATGCTAAATTACCCATAGTGATCAGGGATGGTTAGGTTAGGTTAGGTGGATTGGACATGGTAAATGCAGGGTTACAGGGAAAGGAAAAGAAGGATGGGTCTGGGTGGGATGCTCTTCGGAGGGGCAGTGTGGACTTGATGGGCCAAATGGCTTGTTTCCACACTGTAGGGATTCTATGATTCCGAGCCTGCACATCCCTGGAGACTATGGGGTAATTTAGCATGGCCAATCCACTTAACTTAATCTTTGGACTGTAGGAGGAAACCGGAGCACCTGGAGGAAACCCACATGACATGGGGAGAATGTGCAAGCTCCACACCTGAAGCTGAAATTGAACCCGGGTCCCTGGCACTGTGACCCATTGTGTCGCCCATTCCTAAACCAGAACAAAGTTCTCTTCAATTTGAATGAAGGAGGTAGTTCCCTGGCTTAAGCTACCTGTGGGATGCCTTGGCCATCCTATATCATGTACATCAGGCAAATTGTATGTAAATTGCCTAATCCAACCGCCTAATCCAACTCAAGGGAGGCTGAAGTGGGAGCTGGAGAAATGCTAGGAAGAGCAGTCACATTGCTTGGCATGTACTGTAGACCCCAAACAAACAGCGGGCAGCAGAGGAGCAGATATATAGACAATTCATTAAGGTGTGTAAAATAATTCTATTAGAAGATTTCAACTTTCCCAACATTAATTGGGATAGTCATAGTGTGAAAGGGTTTAAAAGAAGCTGAATTCTTAAAATGTATTCAGGAGAGCTTTTTATATCAACATGCAGAAAGTCCGATAAGGGACGGTGCAGGGCTGGAACTAATTCTGGGGGGTGAAGCTAGATACGTGCTCAAGGTGGCAGTGGGAGACCATTTTTGTGACAATGACTACAACACCATACAGTTATTAGTTTGTTACGGAAAAGGTAAAACATGGTCTGCATAAAGGGTTCTGGATTGGGGGAAGGCAGATTTCATTAAAACAAGGTCAGGATCTGGCCAAAGTAGACTAGTAACAACTTCTGGGTAAATCCAAAATAGGACAGTGGAGGGGGCATTCAAATGTGAGAGTACAGGCCCAATTTGAAACTGAAACGTAGGAGCACAAGTCCAGAGAACCCTGGGTGTCAAGGAATATTCAAGACTAGATAAGACGGAAAAGAGGAGCTTTTAACAGGTACAAAGACAGCAAATCAACAGAGGTCCCAGTGAAGTGTAGAAAGTGCAGGAAAAAGTTAAGAAGGAAAACTTAAGAAAGCAATTAGGAGAACAAAGAAGGGAGATGAAAAAACACTTGCTGGTAAGATCAGGGAGAATCCCAAAGACATTCCACAAGTATATCAAGGGGAAGATAACCAGGAAATAAAAAGGGCCTACTGGCTACCAAGAGGGCAATCTGTGCATGGAGCCAGTGGACATTGGTAAAATGTTAAATGAGTCCTTCACATTTGTCTTTACTCGGGAGAAAAACGTAGATACAGAGTTCAGGAAGAACGGCTGTGAGGCTCTTGAGCAGATTGACGTAGGGAGTAAAGAGGTATGGAGGCTTTGGGGGGCGAGCTTAAAACTAGACAAACTGGAAGATTCATATCACAGGCTGCTGTGGGAGAGGAGGGAGGAAATTACAGGGCCCTGACCACAGGGGAAGCTGGTAGAGATAAACCAGGGAATTATAGGCCAGAGAGAAACTATTGGAGAACATTTCTGAAGGACAGAATTAATCTCCACTTGGAGTGCAAGGTGTGATCATGGATTGTCAGCATGGCTTTGTCAGAGGGAGGTCACGTTTAACAAATTTGATTGAAATTTTCCAAGGGGGTGACCAGTGTGTAGATGAGGGCAGTGCGGTAGATGTAGTTTATACAGATTTCAGCAAAAGCTTTGACAGGGCCCCACGTGGGAGACTGATAAAGAACGTAAAAGCACATGGGATCTAGGGTAACTTGGCAAGTTAGATGCAAAATTGGCTTAGTAACAGAAGACAGAGGGTTGTGGTAAAAGGCTGTTTGAGTGACTGGGGGCCTGTGTCCAGTGGCATACCACAGGGATCAGTGCTGGGTCCCTTATTGTTCATGATATATTGTAAACACTATCGAAGAAAATGTTGAGGGGTGGGGAATGATAAATATGTTTGTGGATGACTCAAAGACGGGCAGGGTGGTTGACCCGGAGGTGGGGGATGTTAGGTTACAGGTGGAGATGAACAGATTGGTCAGATCGGCAGATCAGTGGGGAATTTAACCCTGATAAGTCTAAGGTGAGGTACTTTGGAAAAACTAACAAGATAAGTGCATACTCAGGACCCTAGGAAGCTTGTCCACAGATCCTAAAAAGGTGGCAAAACAGATTAATAGGGGTCATTAAGAAGGCATAGGAGTCCATTACCTGCTTTTATCAGTTATAGCATAGATTACGAAAGCAGGGAAGTCAGGTTGGAATTGTACAAAAAACAACTTTGGCTAGGCCACAGCTGGAGTACTATGTGCAGATCTGGTTACTGCATTATAGGAAGGATGTGATTGCACTGGAGGGGGTGCAGAGGAGATTCACCAGGATGTTACCTGGATGGAGCAGTTCAGTAATGGAGAGAGGCTGGATAAGCTCAGGTTGTTTTCTTTAGAGCAGATAGAGGTGTACAAGACTAGGAGGGGCATGGACAGAATGAATAGAAAGCAGCTGTTCCTTCTACTTGAAGGGGACATAGTTTTAAGCTGAAAGGCAGGAGGTTTAAAGGGAATGAGTGGAAATTTCTTTCCCCCCATTCAGACGATGATGGGAATCTGGAATGCACTGCCTGGGAGTGTAGTTGAGGCAAGAAACCTCACAACTTTAATAAAAGGTATCTGGATGAGGACTGAGGGGACTAGTGTACATTTAGAGTAGTTTTGTCAGTGCAGACTCTATAGGCCGACGTATGACTCCATGTTTGCGGAGGAGAGTGAGGGACATTGTTAGGATTCGGTGGATTAGCTACACTAATTATGTTCTAGCTGTTTGGGAGGAGATCCAGGGGAACAAAAGAGACTTTATAGATCTCCTGACACTGTGCAATCTGCACATAACAATCCCTCAGCACTTTTACTGCCTTTTTCTTTAAGCGAAGTGCCTCTGGTTTGAATATAAAAGGCTTTTACCAGTATCATCAGCACAATCTCGAGCAGGGGTGAGCTTATTCGAGTCCATCATAATTGAGGCTCCGGTGGGTGAAAGGCCGTGATTAAGGTTTGTCATAGATCTCATAGTCAAAAGTTCTTGGTTTGAATCCAATGGAATCCTGGATCCTGGGAGGTCATAAAGGAATTGTGGTGGTGTCCGTCCATTGCTTGTGTCCTGATTGGATACTTTAGTCACCGGACTCTCCCGATTAAAATCACAAGTGCTTTTCCCAGGCTGGATTTCCCGATCCCGGTCCACATGGGTCCTCACCTCCTGGAGATCCTCATCAAACGACCTGGAGAAGACCGACAGGTACGGGGATAGGAAAACGAAAAGATCATTGAGCTTCAGTGACAATTCAGTTTTAAACTTTAAAACATATACATTCGCTGTACATTCAGTGGGACTCGGACTGGAGCTCCTACATATTGAGATTGAGGAACTGCAGATAAGGGGCGTCTCACAACTGGGACTCCCTGGATTTGAGGAGGGCAGTGTACAATTTGGAAGAACTCAAAAGTGTTCGAATATCACAACTTTCAAGCTCACAATCTCACCATCAAAAGACAGGAGTGTGTAAAGCTACAAATCTACAAGCATTTACATCACAGATTAATTTTGGCTCAGTGGCAGCCCTCTCACTTCTGAGTCAGAGTTGTGTGACAGAGACTTGAGCAGAATCACCAGACTGACACTTAAACACCGCAATGAGTGTGTGTGGCACTGGCAGAGGTACTGCACTTTGATAGGACATGGTACTGAGGTCTTGTCCCAAAAAAAAAATGCCTTGGCTCCGATCAAAGAAGAGCAGGTGGGTTTTCTACCAGTGTCCTTGCCAATATTTTGTCTACAACCAACACCCTAACACAGATTTTGAATTATTGTTACATTGCTATTTGTGGGCACATCTCCTATGTTACAAACAAACAGTGTGTAACTTGGAAAGTACTTCATTAACCATAAAGCTCTTTGGGACGCTGCAGAGATGCACGTGTTGTTCCTTCACTACATTCTGATTGTCCTTTATTTGATATCAAGTTTGTTCGAACGGGTGATGGAGTGGAATGGAAAAAAATACTGCCTCGCTCAGCCTCTGAGTGTGCGAGTGAGTCAGCCTTCTCTCTCTCAGTCTCGTCTAACAATACATTTCATGGGCAAATACCTTTTCAGAATAAATCGGATTCGGTTACTCCGCTCCAGAATTCTCTTCAGAGTGTGGGCTTCGTACTCGGACGGCCGCTTGAAGCTGACCCCCTCAGGCAACCCATGCACCACGACAGAAGGCGGATCCTTCAAGATTTTCTCATAAGGCACGGGGACAATTGAAGACTTTTCCAGTGCCTCACCTGAAACCAACACGGGTTTTCATCATTAATGATTTAGAAAATCCAAACCAACCCCAGACAGGTTGTAATTCTTGACATTGTCCCACATTACTTCACAGCAAACACACTTCCTTTAGTCTCACAGTGATGTTGTCATATACCACATATTTCAACAATCGTGCTGGAAATAGTAAAATGATGCTTAGTAAAAAAAAAAGATGACTGACGGCCTAGTATTTACGTAATTCTGCATCAGTAAGTTTTTCCTGATTAAATGATGACAGTTTTTAAACCTACAAGAATTAGACCTTATGGCCTTAAAATGAATTACACCCAGCAGTGGGTCCAGAACAGTAGGCCACCAGAGCCAGGGAACTCGCGTGGAACTGTGCCCCCAGCAGTGCAAGGGAGTGCCAGCGGAGCAGCGCCCTGGCACACGCCTGCCACAGGGTTCATGCTGTGTACTCTAATTTGTGTATACCTGAAACCCCATCAAAAACTAGTACGGCCGCTCCTCCAAATATGTAATTGCCCAAACTCCACACACTCACTGTAAAGTACAGCAAAGACTTGTTCCACCATTTTGCGCAGGACAAAAACATCAGCCATGGGATCCAGCGAATCCCTTTGAACATTCCGGCCATTGTCTGTCACCATTTTCAACATCTCCATCTCCCGGAGGTGTGCGTTCCAGTTGGCTGCTGGAGAGAGAGAGGGAGGGACTGAGATTTAGCTCATAGATCAATGTAAGGTGACCATGCAAAATCCACAATGTAGTTCTCAGTGCAGAAATGTGGCCTGAACTATAACTGGCTGCTATATTAGTTGGAGGCTCAAACTCTCTCATTTTAAACAGGGTCAGTGCATCCATTAAAATAAGGGAGGAAGAACTTATAGATCAATCTTTTAAGCCTATGGCTGGAATGAGTGTTAACCTTATTGTGTGTTTAAAGATATTTAAACCACATATTGGAGGAAGACCCAGGGCCACCTCCCCCGGCCCAAGGACGCAGAACAAATGCTCACATTGAAAGAAGAGGCAGATGATTTGTACCCCAAGTTCTGTTTAATTCGGTCCTGAGCCAAAAAGCTATCTGGAGCAATTCGGGCATTGGATTCAACAGCCCACAGCTGACCCCACACAGCACTGCCCTGAGGGTAGCATTAATATTTCCTCCACAAACAAAAACAGCAATTGCTGGAAAAGGTCAACAGGTCTGCCAGCGTCTGTGGAGAGAAATCAGAGTTAATGTTTCGGGACGAGTGACCCTTCCTCAGACGCTGAGAGGCCTGCTCAGCTTTTCCAGCAATTGCTGTTTTTGTTTCTGATTTACAGTATCTGCAATTCTTTCGGTTTTTAATTAATATTCCCTTGTTTTTCACCTCCTCATTGAGCAGGATTGTCTCCTACCCCTGAACAAAACGTGAATTTGGCTTCCTCTATCTCACCTGAGTGGGCAGATGGGGAAAGTAGTCCCAGACTGTAACTCATAATGTTTTAATAATTTGCTCTTTGCTCCCATCTGGATCCAGGAATGGTGCCTCATGACCATTCTGGGCTCAGGATTTGGATACTATTCCAATCTCACCCCAAAGGATTCAGTAACAATTCAGAGTTTGGGTGTTTGCCTGGGACTATTTATAAAAATGGACACCATAATAGTCTGGGCATCCAATTAAATCCTTTACATAAAGTAAATGAAGCATTAACTGCTCCCCCTTTGTCTCTGAGGAGACGTCATAATCAGTACAAAAAATCCTTGTGAGATCCTCAATAAGAAAGGACACAGTTTGGGATAAAGCCCCAAGATGTTCCAAAACCCAACACAACCAGCGAAGTACAGCAAATGTTTTATTAACTGGCACCTATGGATCAGCAGGGTGCCGGTTAATCAAATATTCTGGGTAATCAAGAGATAACATAACCACAGTAAACCCTGACCAAGCAAAGGCTCAACATTCCTGAAAAATCTATGTAAAAACATCAACAGACTTCCTAAAATCATTGTAAAAACACACATTAAGTAATAGGAACATAATGCAGGGGTTGTACACATCATTGTTATACTCTATTTACAGCATAAATACTCAGCATTGCTGTAGATAGTGGTGTTTGAGGTACATTTTGCTGGTTTATCAAAGAGCCAGTTAAAATAAAGTTTGCCGTACTGCATTGGTCACTGTTGGTATATAGGCACATGGGTGATTAATTTGCACAGAGCAAGGTCCCAGAAACAGTAATAAAATGATCTACAGTTGCTAATATTTTTTGATGGATGAAATGATGTCAAAGGCACCATAAGCACTGCCTTGTGTTTCTTTGAAAGGTGCACTGGGACCTTGTATGTCCACTCCGAGGCAGTAGGGCCTTGGCATAACATTTTCCCCAAACGCGGCACCTCTAAGCACTCACAGCACTCCCTCATTACTTCTCTGAAGGCTCAGACGGTGTTAGGTGCTCAAGCATTGCAATGGAACATCAAAGCGATGGAAATATCAGTACAAAAATAAAGCACAACATTCAGCCTTTAAAGTCAGTATTAGAAGCTTGCAGAATAGATCAAGTAGTCCCAGAGTGCAGTAACCAAGTGGTGTAAACTTACTGCAATATTTGACAAATTCTTTTTGCAGTTCCCTCCTGGCATTTAAAAACAATTTTCCTTTCTCTGTTCCCAGAACAAAGATGGTTTCCTCATGAACAGCAATACAGGCCACTTCAGTGTTTAACTTTGAGAGCGCTGTGCACTGCAGAACGCAAGAGATCACAAAGAGGTTAGTGTCTAGAGAAGGCTGGAAACAAGCAGAAAGTCAAAATCCATAGACTGTGAAAGAAAATTCTGCTTCGCAACACTCAAGCAATTTAATACCCAGAAGGAATCTCCATGATCTCACCCCTGAAGTCATCAATAAGGAGGGTAAATATGGAGATGGATAGTCTACTGTTTCACTATTCACAATATAAGTTCTACACTGGGGAGATAAAATACAAATTGGATGACCATTTTGCAGAACACCTACACTGTCCATAAAAATGACTCCAAGGTTCCAGGTGCCTGTCACTGCAACACACCACAATGCTCCCTGGCCAATATTTCTGGCTCAGGCGTGCTGTGGTACCCCAGTGAGGTTCAGCACAAACTGAAGGAACAGCATCTTATTTTCCGCTTGGGGACCCTGCAGCTTTCAGGACTACAGATGGTTAGCACAGCTGCCACAGTGGCTCAGTGGTTAACACTGCTGCCTCTCAGCACCAGGGACCCGGGTTCAATTCCAGCCTCAGGCAACTGTCTCATAGAATCATACCACAGAGTCCCTATAGTGTGGAAACAGGCCATTTGGCCCAACAGGTCCACACTGACCCTCCGAAGGGAATCACACACAGCCCATCCCCCATCCAATATTTCCCATGGCTAACACATCTAACCTACACACCCCTGGCCACTATGGGACAATTTAGCATGGCCAATCCACCTAATGTGTACATGTGGGAAGAAAGACACGGGGACAATGTGCAAACTCCACACAACCCAAGTCCCTGTGCTCTGATGCAGCAATGCTAACCACTGAGCCACCATGCCACCCCTGTGCCTGTATGGGTTTCCACTGGTTTCCTCCCACAGTCTGAAGATGTGCAGATTAGGGGGATTGGCCATGCTTCAATCACCCCATAGTGTCCAGGGATGTGCAGGCTGGGTGGAATAACCATGGCAAGAATAAAATGGGCAGGGTTACAGGGATAGGGTGGGATGCTCTTCGGACAGTCACTGCAGACTCGATGGGCCAAACCTTCTGCACTGTAGGGATTCTATGACTCAATATCAAATTCAATAATATTAGAGCCAGAAAACCTCCTTCCATGTCTTTTACCCAGACTCCTCCACACCTCAGGTCCCATCATCACATATTGCTTTTAGCACAGCCAACCTATTCTCACTCACTTATTGTCCCCATCATCACCTATCTATCTTTTCACCTTCCCCAGAATACGATCAACAATCGCTTGATCTGCCCAACTTTTTTCTTCTCTCTGTCCCTCTCTGGGCTCCATCCTCACTTAGCTGCTCACTTCCTCCCCCCTCCTGCCCCCAACCACCAAAACCCCTGTCATCAAAATAAACACCACTCTTTCCTTAGTGAGATCACTTCTGAAGAAGGGTCGCTGGTCCCAAAACATTAACTCTGTTTTCTTCCAATAGGTGCTGCCACACCTGCTGAGTTTCTCCAGCAATTTCTGTTTCTGTTTTGGGCCAATTTCTAATTAGCTAAGCGTAGCTCTAGATTGGGAAGACCTCTCTGATTTCCAAAAAAGTCCTGGCATCCTCTGTGGGAACATTTGGATTAGTAATGGTCCTTAACCCGGCCGCCAAATGCAAGACAAAAGGAAGGGACTTCCAAACATTGTCAGAGATTATAAAATATCAGGAAGAATCACAGCATTTACAGGTCAACAAAATTCAAACCAATAAGACAGCCTTCAGACATGTAATTTTGATTGGAGCTCTGAGCTTCAGGAATGTACAAGTTTAGGTCTGTCATAAGGAAATGTTTTCCAGGGATCAACGTGGGATAAGGGGCGGTGATGGCCTAGTGGTGTTATCATTAGACTATTAATCCAGAGACTCACGTTTGAATCCTGCCATAGCAGATGGCAGAGTTTGAATTCAACAAAATGTAATTAAGAGCCTAATGATGAATCCATTAACGGAAAAACCCATCTGGTTCACTAATGTCCTCTAGGGAGGGAAACTGCCATCCTTACCCGGTCTGGCCTACATGTGACACCAGACCAACAGCAATGTGACTGACTCTTAACTGCTCTCTGGGCAATTAGGGATGGACAATAAACAGTGGCCTAGCCAGCAATGCCCTCATCCCATGAATGAATTAAATCAAGGTAGGATTGTTTGGAAATGCTCTATTATAAATGACTTGCATATGGCAAAACTTTAATTGAATGGAATTCAAAATGTTGGCTGAAAGAAGCGATAGTACTTCACAAGTGGTTTAACTGCTTCAGTCTTTCCTTCATCACATTGCTGTTGACAGTTTGTATGTTACTTAATTGTCTCATCAATTAATAACACTGAGTTTCACAGTTTCCCCAGTCCATGGATGTCCAATGTGATTTGTCACTCCTTTTCTTAACTTATATCTTATTTTGTGAACAAGCATGACACAGAAATTTGCTTGGGATTCTTGTTGATATTTCAGAGCAGCCCAGGGAATGCAACTGGCAAACACATACGATAGTACCATGTTAAATGCTATTACAATTAGACTCCTGGTTGCATTGTTGTCATTTGAATAGATTTGGTGATAGGAATATTAAGCCATGAGCACGTATTTATAGTTAAACACAAAGACTTGCCTTTCTATACCATCTTTTATCTCAGATAGTCCCAAACCAAATACTTTGGGGATGGATATTTTTTAATCGACATGCTATGACACACAGCTCTGGAGCAGGTGGGACTTGAACCTGGGTCTGCTAGCTCAGAAGTAGGGGCACTATCACTGCAGGCCAGCATTTTGGGGGTGTAGTCACTGTTGCAATTTGGGAAAAGCAGCAGCCAATTTACTCACAGCGAAGTGCCACAAACAGCAACAAAGTAAAGGTCAGATCATCAGTTTTAGTTGAGGGACAAATAATGTGGACACTGAAGAACTGTCAACTTCTCCCCTCAGCAGAAACTTTCCAGCTATTTATTTTAAATTGTAGTGCTGGTACTTCTCAAAAGACAAAGAATAAGGAAGCTTCTCACTCATTACTTTCAACAGTTTATACCATAAGCATGTGATCTTGGCAAGTCAGTCCAACTCCCATTTTAAAGAATATCAGTAAACCACCAGGAAACTTCAATGTTATTACAAGTTAGGAGAGGGAGACTGTTGTATGAGGAGGGGAATATTGTGTGTATACCTTACTTTAAGAGAGATTATCTTTAAAGATTCTGTGTGCTGGATATGTACAATGTTACAACTCTGCCTGACAGTTAGTCTACTGTGTCTAAAAGTTATACACGCAGAAATCAATTAGGTTGCCTCAATGTCTGCTTCATAACTTATAGTGTGTTTTATTGTTTTAAATTAATTAGCCCACAGAGTTAATGAACACCTAATGAGGGACAGATTGTTTAGATTATTATTAACATGCCACAGATGATACTGCAAATTACAATGAAAACGCAAGAAAGAATAAAATCAAATAAAGAGAAAGGTATCTATAAACCATTGCTACTCGTATGGAGTTCTGATCACCAACCTGAAAAACTTTAACGTTGCTTTTGTCTCAGCCGTGCCGCCAATTATTTCCAGCAGTTTCCATTTTATTTCAATTTTCAGCACAAACAGTATCTTGTCTTTGTGCTACTTGAGTCATTTTTCATGTGCCTGTCTTCAATTTTCGCTTTACTGAATCACTAGCTGCAGTTATAGCTCGTCAGCTATAGCACAGCTCATAAGTAGTCATCTCTGTCAATATGCAGCAAGAGCTGGACACTATCCAGGCTTGGGCTGATAAAATGACAAGTAACATAGAAATGCCAAGTAATGACCATCTCCAGCAAGACAGAATCTGAACAAGCTCCCTTGACATTTAACAGCATTTCTATCTCTGAAACCTCATCATCACCATCCTGGAGGTTACCATTGAATAGAAAACTCAACTTAACCAGCCATATAAATACTGTGGCTACAAGAGGCTGGGAATTCTGGGCCGGATAATTCACCTTCCCCCTCCCTAAAACCTCTCCAGCATCGACAAGGCACAAGTCAGGAGTGTGATGGAATCCTCTCTACTTGCCTGGATGGGTGTAGCTCCAAAACCGCACGGAGAAAGCTCGGTTAATAAACACCCCATCCACCACCATCAACATTCCCCAACTCAACTACAGGCAAGATGCAATGCAGCAACTCATCAAAGGTCCTCTGACAGCAACATTTCAAGCCCATAACTATTACTACCTAGAAGGACAAGGGCAGCAGATGCATGGCAACTTCAGCACCTTAGGTTCCTCTAATGTTAACGTTATGTTGAGATCGTACAGAACATGGATAAGATCTTTTCTGGAGTACTGTGTCCAGTTCTGGTCTCCCTGTTATAAGAAGGATATTATTAAGCTGGAGAGGGCTCAGAAGAGATTTACTAGGATGTTGCCAGGAATGGACAGTTTGAGTTATAAGGAAGGGCTGGATAGGCTGGGACTTTTTTCACTGGAGCGTAGAAGGTTGAGGGGTGACCTTATAGAAGTTTATAAAATCATGATGGGAATACATAAGGTGAATAGCAAAAGTCTTTTCCCTAGGGTGGGGGATTTCAAGACTAGGGGGCATATTTTTAAGGTGAGAGGATAAAGATTAAAAAAAAAAGACATGGAGGCAATTTTTTTTGTACACAGAGTGGTTCACTTGCGGAATGAACTTCCAGAGGAAGTGGTGGATGTGGGTATAGTCACAACATTTAAAACACATTTGGATAAGTTCATGAATTAGAAATCTTTGGAGCGATATGGGCCAAGTGCAGGCAGGTGGGACTAATTTAGTTTGGGATTGTGGTCGGCATGGACTGGTTGGACCGAAGGGTCTTTTATCGTGCTGTATGACTCTATGACTCTATGACTCTAAAAGTGACCCGATATCTTGATGTGGAACGACAGTTCCATTCCTTTACTGTTACTGGGTCCTAACAGGACTGTGGGTGTACCTACACCACATGGAATACATGGTTCAAGATAGCTCACCACCCT